ATATTCTCATTTATTAAAAAATATAGCAACCAGTCAAAGAAAAATTGTAATATAAAATTTATAAATAACAGTAAAAATAAATGCAAGGCAACACGGTCTATTATAAAAAGTGAAAATTCAAATGCAAACTTGGATAATAATATTAAAGATCTAAAAATAAATGATAAAAACCTAACAAACCCTTATGACATAGCCACCGCTTTTAATAACTATTTTATTGACATGACTAATTATATTATATCTAACTAGCTGTTCCCCGCGACTTCGCTCGCGTGTTAAGGTTTTTATGTTTTTGCGCGGAACTCTAATTCTTTTTCTAAAATAAAAGTAGCTTAAGTTACTCCTTATGAAATCAGCTACCAGCCAGAGAAAGTCCCGTCAAAATCGGCCCAGCCGTTTCGGGGATTAGCCGGAACAAACAGACAAAAATTTAAAACTTATTTTTGTTATGTGTACCGTATATAATTTCATATGCATTTAGTAAAAATCTGTTATTTTAACATTACAAACAGACAGTTCAATTTTATTTATTTGTATACATAATGATAAAACAGAAAACATTACGCCTAATAATACAATATCGTTATCAAATTCAATATTTCTTAAACCCACGTCGAAAGATGAGGTGAATAAAGAGATCACGTCCTTAAATAACACTGCCTCCGAAGGTTACGATGGAATTAATACCAAAATAATTAAAGCATGCGCATGCGAACTTGTTGAGATTATGGCTTATTTAATTAATTTATCATTTTCGACAGGAACATTTCCCGACAATTTAAAAATTTCTTTTGTAAAACCGTTGTTTAAAAAAGGTAAAACAGAAGATATCAACAATTATCGACCGATAACTCTTATACCTATAATATCAAAAATTTTTGAGAATTTTTTTTATAAGAGATTAATGAATTTTGTGAGAGATTTAACATAATCAAAAAAGAACAATACGGCTTCCAAAATAAGAAACCTACAACGTTAGCAACTTTTAATCTTATAAAAATAATAATTTCTAGTATAAATAATAACCTACTAACAACAGGACTATTCTTTGATTTAAGTAAAGCGTTTGACTTCGTCACACATAGCTTTCTTCTAAATAAACTAGAATCGTTTAAAATTAGAGGGATAGCACTAAAGTGGATTTCATCTTATTTATCAAATCGACGACAATGTGTTACTATTGATAAAATGGTAGGAAATGAAATACTATCCTTCTCGTCTCCGTATACGGAAAAGAACTACTGTGTTCCTCAAGGCAGAGTTTTAGGGCCAGTATTATTTTTGTTATATATTAATGACAACACTCTAGCGACAAATCATAAATGTACACTGTATGCTGACGATATCTCCGTAATTATAACATCCCACAAAAATTGTTTATCATTAGATAATCATGAAAAGGAAATAAATAGCACAATCCATTATATAGTTAATTGGCTGCATACAAACAATTTAAAAATTAACCCAAACAAATCAAATTGCATACATTTTAATAAGATAACAACTAATTTTAGTCTAAATATTTATAAAATTGACGAAACAGAACAAACAAAATTTCTTGGTGTGATTATAGACCGAAATTTAGACTGGAAGATACATATAGATGAGCTATGTAAAAGAGTTAATCGTTTTATGTATGCGCTACGTACAGTAAAAAATGTTACTAATAAAAAAACAGCCCTAATATCCTATCGGGCGTATATTGAATCCATACTCCGATGGGGTATAATAGTGTAGGGGTAGTATCACAGATTAGCGTAGGGTATTATATATATAGCACAAAAAAAGTGCATAAGGGCGATATGTGGTATCTCAAAAGGAGAATCCTGTAAGCCAATATTCAAAATACTTTGCTTACTAATTCTGCAATCGTTATACATATTTGAGATAGGTAAATTTGTAAAACAGCATACAGCTTTATTTAAAAAATCCTCTGATACCTAGGCTTAAAAGAAATCCGAATAGATTAGTTCCAAGCGAAGTTCCGAAATCAACTAAATATAGTAAAAGCTGTTTATCAATGTGTGTACTTACATAACAAAATACCAGACGAAATTAAAACACTAAATAATATGAATTTATTTAAAAATAGACTTTACCTTTTAATTGACAAAAAAATTTATGACATTAACGAATTTCTGACATTGTAAGCTAAATTCTGACAATGTATTCTGGCTATTAGTGTGTTGTGATTCTGACATTGTAAAATATGATTTGAAATAATGTTTAATTTGTTAATTTTTAATATCATATTGGTCATTTTATTGTTTAAAGTGTCGTATTGTTTAATGTAGTTACTCATAATTTAAATGTAACTTGCATGCTATATTATATTAAAATAGTTTTATGTGTATGTGTGTAAAACATGTTTTATGCAAATAAAGAATATTATTATTATTATAAATAAAATAAAGTATTTAGGGGTGGGTCACTCTTATCATTTAGAGGTTTGAAAAATAGATGTTGGCTGATTCTCAGACCTACCCGATACGCACACAAAATTTCGTACAAATTGGTTTAACCGTTTCGGAGGAGTTTGGTAACAAATACCGCGACACGAGAACTTTATATATTAAGATTATTTTGACACCTTTCATTATTATTTGATAGTTGTGTGTTCATTTCGATGAGCGAACCTTACTTTATAAAAGGCACTATATGTTAAAGTTCCTATGAAGAGAACGTGGTCGAATTCTTTTGGGATAATGTTACATTTCCATTGAAAAGAACGAATCCATTTTATTTAATTGATATATTACTACCTTCCAGTTGATCCAAGTCCAGCGGCGAATCACTCGGAGGCTTACTTGATATTCTATCTTGGCGCCTTCAAGCAAGCTATAATTTGTACTTTATATTCTTTATTTCTTAATTAAGTAACACTTACTTTTCGGCATAATATCAGCCAATCACTACGTTTCGCTGATAGCAAAACACTATATCAAACAACCTACACACACTCAGACACTACTCTAGTACAGAACATTAGGGCACATCGCAATCGCCGGCGAATGCGACGTCACAGACACACTCCGTACACGAGGCTTAACACCCGTGATACGGGGCGTTTCTAACTTTTTGCGACTCGTTAATAAAATTGCGATAGCGATTCAAGCCGAGGTTCGTACCTCCTTCTGAAGGGCCCTTGAATCGCATCGAGCCCCCCCCCCCCCCCCCTAGCTCGAGGAGCCTCACTCCGAAAGCAGGGGTCGGGGTGCCTCGGGACTGCAGTCGGCTAAGCGGCGCTTCGCGCCGCCTCGCCGACGGCAGAATCGTTGCACTCAATAGTTCGTAAGTACTCACTTACGAACCTAATTACATGAAGCTGTCAAGGCCGCAGGGCCAACAGCATACACATTCAGAAAAAAATATATCAAACAAAATTGAACACAATTTAAAAATAGAGAGCGGTGTTGAGTGGTAAAGCACTAAACTTTAAATGACATATCGAGGACAGAATCTATAGATGGTCTTCGGGATTGAGGTTCTCCCCACTCCTGTAACCGAAGGAAGAAAGCGAAACGAGGGGTTTTTAACTTTTAGATTCTCAACTATAGTGCGAGTAGTGAATCCTATATAGACGTAATGCTACCTGTGTTTAATAAGTTCCAGTTACAGTCTTATTTTTTTTTTAATCTCTAAAATAACGGTCTGTAATTTAAGAGTGTGAAAAGCTTTAAATTTGACGTAGTAAATACTGGGAGGGAAACAGTGACACGAAATGATAAAATTAACATACTTAAATCATTTTAGTAAATTATTATTTTTTTCATTATTATGTTTTCTAAATTGTTAATGAATTTATAATAATAACATATAAATTGCACTAAAACTTATTCAACTATTTTATCCTGTATTACTAAAAATATATGTATACTAAATATACATATGAGTAGGATGAGTTAGGATAGGATGAGTCGCTCGCGTCCGTAGGCTTCGACCACCTAATCCTAGGCCCACCCTACACGTGTCCGCTGGGTAGTGCTAAACAAGTAACAAAGCCGAAAGAACAGACTCGGCTCCTCGCCCTGTGGTAGCGGCGTAAAAAATACCACCCCCTACTTTCGCACCATGAGGCAAAACATTTTTTTATGTAAATATATTATTTAGTAAACAATAAACAATAAAATTTATACAAGTGATTACAAAAAAATCTATTTATGTAAACAGTATTAAACAAGTGGTAAAATTAAAAATTTTACCAACCTTGTACTATACAACCGACTTCAATATAAATAAAATGAGAACATCATCAATGTAGTCGAAGTCAATTAAATACGTATTATTAAAGTTAACTCAAAAACTACTAATCAGATCTTGATCAAATTTTTATGGGACCACATAAAAAACATCAGCTTTCAAATGAAAAAAGATTTATCAAAATCGGTGCACCTAGAATAATGTTCTGAAGTAACACACATAAAAAAATACAGTCGAATTTAGTACCTCTTCCTTTTTGAAATTGGTTTAAAACTTAAATTCAGTAGTACGTCACTCGCCTAAAACGCGCTAGCCCTACTGCATTATGTAACCTGTGGTTCCGCGCGATTGTAGGTATTTAAGTTACGCAAGTAGCAAGAGACCCTTTTTACTGGAAACGAGGCATTCAATCTTAGTCCTCACGGATGACAGCGCATCTGCATTTTGATTTGTAATAGAGGATAGATGTAGATGTCTATGGGCCACAGCAACCACTTACCATCAGGTGGACTGTGTGCTCATTTGTCACCCTTATTCTATAAAAAAAGCATAAATAAAATCCGTAATGACCTACAGAAGAACACGAGTAACTAACACATAGACTCGCAGATTAGTAAGCTGAAGTGGCAATGGGCCGACCGCGAACACAAACTAGATGGCTTAACGACCTGACAAGACACGCAGGTAATATGTTGGGGCAGGTGGCTCAAAACCTAGTGGCAATCAATCGCGAAGACCTATGTTTAACAGAGAACTTGTAATGGGATGTGATGATAATGTAATAGTGAATAAACACTTACCTGTCTAATACATTCCTTGTCATTTATTGGCAGTACTATCTTCTCGATATGTTTTTGAGAATAAATATGTTTGTCTAAATTTCTAACTATTTCTGTGCACAGTTTGCACTGAGCATGGCGCTTTCCTATAGCCAATATTCCATGAAAATTGTTGTGTGTCACTTTAACCTCACTGCCATCTTTTGTTTCGATAATAAGATACTCGCCATTAACATCTTTTACCTTGTGTGAAGATAAAGTTTTTGCATTTAAATTATTTATGTATTCTGTTAAATTTGTACCATTACTGACAATAGCATCTTTATTTATTTTATGAAATGTAGCTGGTTTCAAATTCCAAACTATTTCCTTGGCAATATCTTCATTGTAGACTGGCTTTTCAATATCAGGTTTGTTTGTGCCTTCATCAACTTTATCCAATTCTTCATGATTAGGCGTTTCAATTTCCGATTCAGTGTTATCTGTTTCTAATTCATCATGTGTGTATATTTTAATAAAATCATTTAATATTCTGTCTAATGTAACAGCGTTTTTGTGAGCAGTTGATTTCATATGGAAGGATTTGTCTTTGACAGGTGTTGTTGTAACACATGTTTGACAAAAATACATTGACGGGACAGGATTTTTCTCAGAGAAGTTGTGGGTCACTTGCTTTTTAACTCTTTCTAATGCTACTTCTGTAATTTTTAGGAATGTCTTATGTTTAGTACTATTTAAGTGTTCCTTCATATATGGCAAGGGAACTTCGATATTGCAGATATAGCACAAATTTGTACTTATTTCTGTATTGACATAGGGATTTGATGAATTTTCTGAAAAAGAAGGTACATACTGACTTACTTTTCGTATTTTTTTAATAATTAAAGTATCATTACAGTCGGATTAGCCATTATTAGAAATACACACTAAATGTTTAAAAATGGTTATTTATGTCTTAATATCAAACAAATAACCCCCAACTGACCTCTATATATACAAATACGCTGGACTGGCTAAACCCTACAAAATGTTTGTGTCGATTTGAAGCGCCGCAATTGTACGTACCGTGAACTAAAATCGACTTAAGGCGCAGGTTGAGCAAAATGTCGCGCTAGTCGTTATTTGTACGGTTTTTAGGAGCTATCTACTTTTTATTTAAAAGATATATCAACAAATAAAAAACACATTATATTTCTACATAATCTTGATTCCATAAAAGCTATATCCAATTTTTTTTTAAAGGAATAAATATTAATATAATCTCCTTACAACGAAACCACATAAATGTGAAATTATTATTGATAACATGCATCTCCTCGTAAAGTAAGTATTATTTTATTTTGCGATTTACACCAATGGATAGGCAATTTATTAATGAACATTTCTATAGTAAAATTTTTTTCAAAAAACCAAAATTTGATTTTATTAAGAAATTATTTTAAAATCTGGGCGTATTCACTGCTCACGGGCTTACTGAAGTCAGTGAGCCCTGAGCTCTTCGACGTGGAACCCGTGTCGTTAGAGCGTCTGCCAGCGCCGTGTGCCCTCACGTCATCTTATCAGTCGATAATATTATAATATTATTACTTATTAGGTTATTTATAGGTAGTATTATTTGTTTGTTTTGGGTATAATTTTTCGTATTAGTTATACATATATTTGTTGTGTTTTTTACTGCGCGATGAAGCTTTTTGCGTGTATTTTCTTTGAAGTAAATGCAAATAAAAAAATGAAGGACCATTAGCATGTAAGGTTCGAATCCATAATTAAAATTTCGACAAATATTATAATTTACACTATAAAAGGCTAATTCAATATTATCACCCAACCACAATATCTTTTTAAGTATAGTACTGCCTCGTTGGTCTAGTGGTTGTAGTAGTGCGACTGCTGATCATGAGGTCCCGGGTTCGAATCCTGGGTCGGGCCAAAAAGTCAGTTATGAGTTTTTCATTTATGTACTAAGATATAATTAGTATTACTTACTAAGTTATAGTTTTTTGCTAAAATATAGTATATTATTAATTGCTTGTTTTTCTTCTTTTTCAAAAAATAATTGAGTAAATAAGGTGTTCTATACTTATAATTCGGTAAAAAGTATCTAAGTAGGTACTAATATACCTACTTTTTACTATTAACTAAAAATTTTTAAAACTAAATTTAACTAAAAAGACTAAACTGACCATTTATTTTTTAACTCAAAACAGGACATGGGTTTATTTATCTTTATCTCTAAAAACTATAACTTTAAACAATTAGTGTTCACTGTAAAATTATATTCGGTATAGACGGTAATTATTAAATGCAACATATTTTTTTTAATTATTAATTACATTTGTCAGTGGATTAAATTTGCTTTAATAAAGTTGGTGATGATTTTAAATAAAAATAAAATTCTGCTCAAGTTTTTTTATTGTTATCTTTGTTAACAACATCGCCTTTAGAACTCTGGAACCGTAAGTGTTTCTTTCACACGTCCACAATTTATTCAAAATAAAAAAATACTCTTTCTACCGAGCATTCGTACCAGGTAGACATAAAATATATTCGATTAAAAAAAATATGTTGAAGATTGCTGACTTTGAATACTTCCATCCAACGAGTTACGGGACAATTTTGTGTCCCGGAGCTTTGTTTGGGGACAATGGGACAGGTGACCGAGAAAAGGGACAGTCCCGTTCAAAACGGGACGTATGGTCACTTTAGCTATAACCCGGCGACGGCTCCGTAACGTAGTGGCTTAGCAATCAGTTGTTGCGCTGGGGGCCGCGGGTTCGAATCTCGCACGGAACAAATATTTGTATGGCCTACAAATAATTGTTCCGGGTCTGGATGTTTGTCCTTGTGCAATTTATGTTTGTAAACTGCCTCCACGACACAGGAGAAAATCCTAGTGTGGGGGTAACGTTTTTTTACAATTGAAATTGAAAGATTGAACCCTTATACTTCTTGTTGATTTTTGTATTAGTAGGTAGGTATATTACTTTTCAATACGTGACACGTAAAAATTAACAATAATCAAAAACACATCTACGAAACATCCTATTTATTTATTTATTCTTTATTGCACCAAATATTTGTACAAAGGCGAGCTATCTATTTATTTACCTAGAGTGAGTAGGTATCTTTTAAACTCACAATTTTCAATGCTTCATTTTTAATATATAATTAATTATAAAATTTCATAATTAGATAATATATGAAAATACATAATTCTAATATAGTGCAACTAATATACCGAATAAAAAAATTAAAATACATTTATCGTTGTACGCTGTGTGTATTTCCATAAATTAGTTCATTGATGTTGAAAAAATAATACTACGTTCGTACCTACGTTCGGTGGTGGCGTCGTACATATTTCAAATAAGCAATATATTGAAGCGAACGGCGTGCCGCCGGCAAAATGCTCAAGGTCGTTCGCATGGAGTAGCCCCTTAACATGACAAAGTCTTGTAGCGGGTGGAAGGAAAAGGGGAGATCTCCCGCCGGGCAAGGTGTTCTGCCCGGGGAGCGGCCAACGCTCCGATTGGTAGTTCGGAGCTATTCTATATATGCTGCTTTAATTTCGGAACTTTGATAGCGTGATTTAGCGACGACAGCGCCGCCACAGTCTGTTTGGTTGTTTAAATCGTTTCTGTGTATTTTAAACTTTTAAACGAAGAAATGAAAGTATTTTGTGTAGTTTGATTTTAGTTATGTAACAAGGATTACTTTTCGTAATAATAAGTGTGTGTAATTTGTAATGTGTAATTTGTAAAAGTATGTGAATTTACAGGTAATATTAAAAAAAAAAACGAAACTTAACGTAGATACTTACTAATGTTAATATCGTAATTACCTACATGTTTGGCTTTATATTACTGAATTTTGATAAACAATAAAATTCAATAGTGTTGTCGAGTTCCTTGTCTATAATACTTATCGATGTTCTTTTCTACCCATATCTGTTAACAACCAAAGTCGCCGACAAAAGGTAATTATCAAATGTTACAGTTGTTATTGATTCACAAACCCTAGAAACAATATTCTGGTGTGGCTACTCCCTGTTTGTGATTTTTAAAAACGCAAACGAAGTTTAATGCGATCTGAGAATAAGACCAAAGAGTAAAATTATTCGAGGGTAAGTTGTAAGGTAAGGTTTAACATGGTATTCGGTCGAAACTTAAACATCCGTGTCATAATAATATGGTATTCTTTAATGTAATTTTGTCCCGTCACACTACTTTGAACGATGTCATTTGAAAACCTCGTGTATCTATCAATCATCTTTTAATGTTCTACAAAGATCGGTTTTAGAGCTTTCTAGAACATTAAAAGACGATGGTATGACTTTGGACACTTGGGAGAGAGATAAAGCTTTAGTGTAGGATACTACTTGCGAAGACACTTTAAGCAATATTACTGTCTCTGTTTAGTTGATAAGGCACTTGTATTTAAGAATTAGACATATGTTGTAAGTTTCATATTTACTAACAAATTATATGGATTATCTGAAGTAATATTTTTTTTTTTTGGGTATTCATATAGTTTTCTCATTTGGTTGGGAGGTATAAATATATGACTGAAAGTGATAAATATACATAAGTATCAATAAAATAAAACAAATACATTAAAAAAGGGTTATAGATGGTCCATATCGAACCCTCGGTAGGGGAGACCAAACGGCCGAGGGTTAGTGGGAAAGTGAAAGAAACCCGCGGACGATGCGGGCGGTATCGAGGAGCAACGCCTTCTGCATTTGAGCCCGGAGCGGTCCGTCACGGAGTCCCATTGGCCTCAGATAATTCGAGAGGCTGACCGGGATTAACCCGTTCGCAAAAATGACTACAGGAATAACTTCGGTCGGCAGACCACTCCACATGTCGGTCACCAGTGAGCCAGATCCAGATATTTTGTCTGCTTATCTGTTTCGGCTTTCACGAGGTTTTCGCTATAAAGAATGGTAACGTCGACCAAAAATATCCTTGCCTGTGCCCGGTCAATCAGCACAATATCAGGCTTATTCGCAAGAATAGTCCTGTCTGTGATGATGGCCCGGTACCAGTATAGCCTGGCGCGGTCACTTTCAAGCACAGCTTCCGGCAATTACTTATAATTAGGCAGTTTTCAATCCACGAGACCGTATTTCACACCAAACAACTCGCCACATTCATTCACACTACCCTGTTCCTGGTAATTATTATTAATTATATTATTAAGCACTCAATCACTAATTAGGTTTTAAGCGACCTCTTATAGTACTAACCCACTACGCCAATCAGCTTAATGTTTTTAATTTATAAGTATTTTCTCTGTAAGTGGTTTGTAAATCTTTTGAGAAAATAAATGTCTTAAATCATAAACTCCTGGTGTAGAATCCTGGCTACTAGGTTGTGTCTGTGCAATTACTCAGAGTTAGAAAGCGCCGAACAACCGGAGATGACATGCCTACGTGACTCACCGGGATGGCGACAAGCTCGACAGATGTGGACGGCACCATCCTTTAAGTAGTCTCCGAGAGTTGTTGGTTTTAATAACCTGATCCTGTATCGCACAGACAAAACCCTCGGTTTCTTCGAAGAGGTCACCGAAACGTAGCCAGTGGAGGCAGGTGACTGTGTCTACGAAAGGTTCATGTAGAGCCGTGTAGAACCTCCCATAGATCTTCTTCTCCTTTCATACGGTCTCACATTCGGAAATGCTCTGTACTGCCGGATCTTGCCATTGCTCGTTAGCTAAGGATAGAGGGGTAAGCCCTTTATCACAAAAAAGACGTCTTTATAGGTCCTCGCCTGGAAGTAATTACAGAGGCTGCATAATCGCGAAGATAAATTACTACAGTATTGTATTATTATTATCATCTCAGGGGTGCCTCGTTTAAAACAAGGGCAGTATCAGAGGCAACTGAAATAAATAAGTAGCCCAAACATGAGTCTCTGAGAGATGAGTACATATTTGTGTCATTTGCTATAGACTATCGGTCCGTGGGGTTCATGTACAAAGGCTAAGTATAGCCATTCAGAGAGGAAACGCAGCCAGCGATCTTGGCACTATACCGCGAGGAGTATGATAATTTAAGTTTTTAGTTTTTTTTTTATTATTTTTTACTTTTTTGTACTTTACGCAAGTGCAAGCAATAAGTTGACAGAATTTTACCGCAATCCCAAGAACGGTATGGCAGTGCATAAAATACGAACAAACAAACAATATTTTTTATATATTAAAAAGATATAGTTTATTCTGTCTATAGACAGACCTGATAGGCGTTATTTTAGCAGCAGATTTATTTTCTATAAATAGATGAATGGGAACGGTTGTCAATAAATCATTTGCGAAATTATTTTTTTATTTTTATTTTGTGTAGTTACTCCAGTTAAATAATTTCCAGTACTAATTGAATATTTAAGCCTCGCAAATGAACCAACATACGCAATGTTGATACCCGGAACAAAATCCGTTCTGTACATAGATAATTCTATGGTTCTGTAGTTACAAAGAAAAACGTAGATAGACCAACTCGGCGTTGATCTTGGTTTTATATGCTAAATAAAGCTTGGGTCTAAGGCCCTACGTATTAATTGATACATTTATTTATTGTATGGCATAATATTAATATGATATGATACGGGTAGGCCTGAATTATATAAAAACTATCAATATATTTTGTCACACTACCTTATCTCTATTATTAGTTCCGTGGACGTTCACTTCTGCTGTCAACGCCAAAATGGCGAAAATCAAATCGCCTCATTATGTCACGTTTTATTAGGGGTGTCCACTTTGAAAATACATCGATGTTTTTTTTCGATGTGATACATCGAGTGTGCATCGATATATTTCGATGCATCGGTTAGATACATCGATGTTTTTGCAACATCGAGTACTTTTTATTACTTTACATTATAAATCTGTAGTCAACTACTTGACTGACACCCCATGCAAACAACTGACAATTTTGAATGATATCTTACATTGGCACTGTGTTTTTCCGCACGCATTTTGTGTGTGTTAAGTTAAAAAAAAAGCAAACACACACACACGTGTTTGTTTTGTTTTTACTTTTATGTACAAAAGAAAAGTCGTACATATGGCGGCCTTAATGTCTGCGGGGAATTCACTTGACGGGCATGCCCGCGAGCATGTCAGTAGACATGCCTGCCGGACTTCGCTACTATAGGTCTGTGCAAAGTTTGATAGTGTAGGACCGTCACAGCCGGTCTGGCAGACTTGCCTGTTGAACGTCCGCGCGATCCCATTTTGTCTGCGCGGACACAGACATAAAGCAAACTAATGAGTCTATGTAGTGTATTGCGGCGACAGACATGCCCGCGGGCATGTCCGTCAAGTGCATTCCCCGCTTTAAGGCATTCTCTCCCAGTCTATACTATTTATATTTACCAGTATCCAGTATGTACTATTTATATTTGTGTGTTGATGTGTGTTTATGTGTATATATTTATGTATGTATATGTCTGTATGTATTTATTTATTTATTTTGTTTTTATTCTATACTGCTACACCTACGTCAAATTCTCACATCGTAGAGAATGCATGTCCGCCCTTTGTATTCCTTTATATTAAGGAATGCAATAAAAAATAAATAAATTATTATTTATTATCATTGACCTACTACTAAATGGACGGCGGGTCTAGAACAAAATTCACGAAACATCTGTCCCGAGTCAACCTATATAAACGTAATTTAGCAGCCTTTCAACTTCAACCAGAAGCTGTTTTCATCTTATGCAGCTTCTAGCGAAAATTATCAGTATGATTTTTTGTTTTTACAACTAATGTGAATTTAATATCTCATATCTAAGCAAAATATACAATTATATTTAAATTATTAAATATTAATAGTCCTTATCGAATATATATATAAATATAAATAGTTTTGTGATACAGTACGGTATTTTGGAGTGTATTATCGGTTGACAAAACGAAGACTGGTGCGCAATTGGAACTCGTCGTCCTTTTGAGTAGGACACTCGAACAACCAGCTAATCTCAATTTCTTGATTCCGCTAGGGGACTGACAGCTACTAACTAGCACCACCAACAGGTTTAAATATTATAACTTCTAAATCAGAGCATATTTTAGTTTTTCTAATTTAGAAGTTGTAATATTAATAGTGATAGATAAGTATACCTTTTTACAATTGACTGGTTATCATTGGTTCGATGTTTTATGAAAATACATCCATACATCGAGTATGTTAATAACTTTCCAAAACGTCGGATCAATTCGATGCATCATATTGTAAACATAGAGTGAATACGATGCATTGATGTATATCGAATATCCCTACGTTTTATAGTCAGTCCATAAATATAGAGGTCAATGAGTTTGATACTCGTAAAAGCCAGTTATTTCAACACATTAGAAACTACAATTTTATTTGCATATACTATAAATTATGAATACCTGAGGAACTAACATATGTGGCCTCCGACTCTGAGATATCTTGTTTATCATCTATTTCAAATTCAATTTTATTATATGTTTCCATGTCAGAGATGTCCTGCTTATCTTTGATTTCAAATTCTAAATAGCAATCTTCATTCCTCAATTTCATGTTGTTATTGGTCCATAAAGGCAATAAATTGTTATGGTGCTTTGGAGCCACATTCAATGTTGATAGGAGTGATAAGTCTACAGTATCTAATGGTATGACATATTTTCCATTGGTTTCATGAAGCTCCATGTTCATGGTTCATAATTGTATGTACATGTATCTAAAAGGTATGACATTCAATGTTAAATTTGCTAAAAATTCAAGCTAGGTAATTAATAGAATTATTATAAAAGATACTTTACAGATTTTTTTTTTTATTTTAGGGATGTGAAAATTAATTAGATAAGATCCTTGCAATAAATAAATTAGTGTGTAAACTAGTGAGAAATGCTTCTCTCCCTTCTACAAATACATGGACAATAACTCCCACCACAAAGCCAATCAAATAAATTAAGTAACTTCACTTAGTGTGCCACCTTAGTCATGTTCCTTTGGCGATGTCTTGTTTAGAAGATAAACACATTTTATAATATCAACAGTGGTGTGTATTTCTTAGTAAAATGATGATGGAGTGCAGATTCTATTACTTAGAGCTTTTAGAAACACATTCTAAATAAATATGTTACTAGCATCACAATATATTTATGAAAAAGTAATGTATGTACACTTAAATCTAGACCGTGTAGTGGTGGTATGAATTTGCACTACCCCATATGTTGGATGTTGTAAGAGGTGACAGAGGGAAACAAACCAGAGAATGGCAGAAGTGTCTTTCTAATAATTATTAAAAAGAAATGTAGTTGTCAACCTGCATGCCAAGCCTGACAACTATTGCTGGTATCTCCCCTATGAGGTAATCCATTAAGAGATCTATATTCAGTAGTGGACTTTAGATAGGCTGTAACAGTAACAGCTAGCTAATTAAGTAGTGAGCCAGTCCAAGAGGAAATGCCAGGAAGATATTATAGACTAAAATAAATAATTAAAAACACCATTAACTGTACATGATAATATAACAATAAAAAATTCTTTATTTCAGGTAATTAAAAATCCAGTTAGTAACACAAAAATAAAAATAATAATAATAACAAGGGTTAGTAAAAACAATGGTTTGCTTGAAATCTAGGGAAATAAAGTAATAATACCCTGTGCTTAGACAGACCACCATGGGGTCGACAGGGCCCAGTGATCAGTCTCTACACAAGACATCTCCACAGCGGTGATGTATATCTGTCCACTACGGTCCTCAGAATACAGTAGTGACTGGTTCGTACCCTGCTAATAAGGGATGCGGTTTTTTTGAGTATAATGGCATTAAACCCATCTGTTTGGTATGCACTACAAATACAAGGTAGTGCCAACAGCATCCTGAATATATTATGAATATATACATCCTGAATACACGCATGAGAACAGTTGTGGTTAATTAAATATCTTGTTAACTTGTATAATTTGTATATTATCAAACATTAAATTATTTTACTGTATTCATGACACAATTTCAGCTTATTAATAAATTAATTATTCTCTTAAAAGTTTCATTCCAATGCTTGTTATACTTGCACTTAGAGAGCAAATAAATTTTCAATCTACATGTATGGGAAAGTAATAAAAGAAAGAGTGAATGAATGAAAAGGTGATAATTGATTGGGGTTTACATTCCACCTTATAGTCAATAGATGCTGTGGCACATAGGTACCTACGTCTACACTCAAGTAAGATTTAAATGCAGTGCATTATCACCCATTGCAAACTGTGATGGAATGCCTTGTTACAAGACAAAAAGGTCTCCAGTTCTAATCTCTCTCTACATGAAACACAGCATAGGTAGGAGACAATTTTATCCCCGGGGAAAGGAGAAAATGTTTATCCCCTCCCTTACTTTTATCCACCCTTCGAGAATGGGCACACCGGTGGATATAATATCCACAGTAGATAAAATGGGAAATAGACTTAGAAGATAATTTTTTTGTTTGAATATGAACTTAAACCCACGTCCAATGAACTGGGATAAAATTGTCCCTTTCAAATGTCAAAAAAGTACAATTTTTATCTTTAATTTGGCTCCATGCTACGGACGGGGGCTATATGTCTAATCATTATGTCAAACGGGGATATACTACTCCCCGTTGCCATGCTTTGGCATAGGGACAAGATAATTTTATCTCTTGTCAATGGATATAATTGGGGGATAAAATTTTCGTCCCCAACCCATGCTAGCCGTGCTGGTATTCTGTGCAAGCGTTGTCACTCCATGTTTGGGCTGACACATTCATGTTAGAGCCCTAATGCTACTATGACATGGCTCTACTGTATTCAATAACAGGATTTTTATATTACTGTAATTATACTGTCTCTACATAACCTTCAGAACAAGACACAGTAGTGGTGTATGTAGTGAGTAGTGGATGGTATCAACACAGAGGAGATCATAAATGGAAAATGATGAAACCATCTAATAATTTGAAGCTACAGTAACCTAATGGTAAAGGGTGCGTAAGTGGTTTAAATCCTGTACCTCTGTAGTGAACCGCTCCTAACACAAGCAGTTTAAGTTTACTTGGAGTGGTTCCCAGGAGTGTATGATGATAATAGTATTACTAGTATTATTATTAATAAGAAAGCAAAAATACAGCCGCTATCGCGCACAGGTGGGCAACGAGCAGTTGGAAGAATTATAGTTGCTATTTTTTTTATATTTGCTTTAACAAAACAAACAAAACCTTTTTTGGTTTTTATTTTTCCTACCTAGTCTACGTCTTTCCATTTTAGATTATTGAAAGCAAAATAAAAAAAAAAAAATACTTACCTAAGTAAATATTATAAACTTACCAACAACTTGTGAACGTATTTTACTTATTCCTAATCTTCGCTATTGTTCTCGTAGCCTTTGTTGTTACAGTGATTTCTTACTCATAATGTATTATTTAGTAGTTATATCCAAAAGTAGGTACCCAGCTACTATCCTTCCGGATTTAAATTTTAAACAAAGTAGGTTGTACTCAGTGGTAATACTAATATCTTAATAACTAGTATGTACTTAAATTAGTTATCCTATCATTTAGCACCGATAAGGCTTAACACTTTAACACCTAGCACTAACACTGCACTGTGTTGTGTGTACTGTGTACATCAATGACCTAACAATAGCTCATTGCTTTACCATGGTATATACTATATATATGTATGTAACGATAATTTTGATAACGTAGTAATTTACCACGTTGCCACTTACCAGACTGAATTGTCAGAATCACATTTATTCCGTAATGTTAATAATGTAGTCTTAGATTGTACACTTATACCTACACTTCAAAGATATTTTATAGGTCCTATAAAACCTATAAAACATCTTTGCTACACTTATATAGCAATGTACTAACTGTACAGTTAGCTGTCTGTCTTTACCGTATTCGTAAAATTTATTAAATTGTTCCTCCTTCATACAAAGCACATATATACGTACAGATGTGCAACATAATCATAGAATAGAATAGAATAGAATAGAATAGAATAGAATAGAATAGAATAGAATATTTTTTTTTTATTCAATATACATTACATGTGTAATTCTTATTGAAAAACTGTATACCTAATGTATACACATGTATATTGTGGGTGGGTGGAGTGGAGGAGGTGGAACTACTGTTTACCTATTTTCGTACCTGCTACCGTCTACACTAATGAATAAAGAACAAGACTGGCGGCTGGCAAAAAACAACACGACAACAGGAGTAGTATTACCTAACACTAATCCAACAGGTTAGTGAGTGGTGATCTGGTGTAGCAAAGAGTGGGCAGAACAGCCTGAGCCTGGATATAAAGGTCAATTCCTCCAAAAACAGATGTCGAAAATGACACCGAATATTAATAAATTTTACCTTTCTTTTCCATACGCCGTAGATCATAATATTACCTACAAATGTGATAACCATTGTATATCTGACAACACTAAAATTATGCACACTGTATCACAAAAATCCCCATGATTTGTATATATTATTGCCAATTTTAAAAAAATGTTTTTTTTTTAATTCACAGTGACATTAACTATAAGGCTTTCAGCCACATGGATCAAGGATGTCTGAGTAAGACATATAAAGGGTTGATGTTGAAATAGAATATAAAAGCTGTGTGCAAGGTGAGCCCCCCCCCCCAGCCTATGAATTTGGAGTATACATATAAAAAAAACTGGCAGAGGTATTTGAAATAGGACATCTTACCTTACCTTACCTTATAACGTCGATATTACCTTAAAATAATTAGAATTTGGTACTTTTTATAGTATAAGAAAACTGCACCTTGTTTGATTATAATTGCACCATCATTATATCATTATAAATGCAATAAATGTAATGATAAGCTCAAAAATTTGCTAAAGCCAAATTTGTCAAATGTCGATTGGGTGATTTTTTTCCAACAAATTTGGTTTATCAAGATTTTATGTTTACCATTGCACTTTATGCATTTTTAACGATGGTGCTATTATATTCAAGCAAGGTGCAGTTTTTTTATACTGTAAAAACTACCCAATTCTAATTATTTGAAGTAATATCGATGTTATAAAGTGAACGATCTTTAATTATTTTTAATTCTAAACTATGTGGGTGCAGTTTAAATAATTAATATTTTTGAGATGTGTATTTGAAATACATCTGCCAGTACATATATATATATATATACTCCAAATTCATCTCTTCATTCTTGTAAGTAATATTATAAATCTATTACACGCCTGATGAGGCAACTGTTGATACCTTTTAGAATATGTCACCTTTACTATTGCACACCGTAATGCAATGAATAAATTATTTTCGAAAAGTGTTTTTCACTTCTCAGTCCTTAGACTGAAATTCATCTACATTTACGGACCGAAACTAAAGCAAATGCAGCGTGTGGTGTGTATTTTTATGTATTTTAATGAGATCCTATTACGTTTTCTTCTATCGGCATGAATTTGCTGACAATTCTGCATGTATTTAAAATAGCAGTTTTTTGCAGTGTAATGTAGAGGGTTTCTTTTAGGTCTAATATTTTTCAGCTATGGAGGAGATGATTTAAGATTACGCCTATTGTGGAAAAGACTATAGGAACTACATATACCTACTTTTTTTTTCGCCAGTTCCTAGTCACTTCGTCTTTGCGCTCTGCATACTTTCTTATTTTTTCTGTGATTGTCTTCTGTATGTTATGTGTCTTGGGGACTGCGATGTCTATAATGTAAGTAATTTTATATATTTTGTCTTGTATATATGGTCTGTTATAATGGATTGTCTTGTCAGTAAGAACGACGCGGTTGTAAAAAAAGCTTATGTTTGGTATTTTCTATAGTAATTTTTTGTGTATAATTGTAGTAAGGAGTGTTGGTATTTTTAATGAGTGCATGTTTGAGTGCTAGTTTTTGGTGAATGATATTGGCCACCTGGTTGTGCTTGTGGGTGTAGTCGGTCTGCGTCGGAGTTGTGCATGCGCGTGTTATGTATTGGATAATTTCTGGATAGATGTGGCATTTGCGAGATTTGTCATTAATTACTGTAGGATCTCTGTTTATGTATTTTCTGTAGTTTTTGTTTATGATTTGGTCTTGGATGGCTATTATTAATCCTTCGGTTTCCGGAAATAAGTTGCCTATTTTCAGCCATTTATTTGAAGCTAACTTATTTATGTGAGATTGCTCCAAGTCATGAAGGTGCCAATCGTGAAGTACTTTCCTCTCCCAATCTTCAATTTTTTGTGTCTGCTGGTTATCATTGGTAGTGTATTGGGTTTCTATTTGATTGCTTAGGTTAAGTGGAGTGTAGTTAATATCATTTGTTACTATGGCTTTGTTTATATTACTAGTGCGAGACTTTGTGTAGAAGAATGATTTTAGTCGATCAACTTGTTTCCACCTTAGATGCTGGATATCTATTAGGCCTCTCCCTCCATGTTCCGTTTTATGGTTAATCTCTCTATGGCGGATTTAGGGTGAAGGTTGTTGTTTCGTAAATGTTGTTCGTGTAGTACGCTCTAATTGTTGTGTCAGTTTTTGACCATTTTATAACTCCGAATGAGTACGTTAATACGGGGATGTCGAAGGGTGTTTATGGTTTTGATGAGATATTTACCTGAAAGTTGCGTTTTACAAACGGCATTAAGTCTTCTCTTGTATTCTTAACGGCGTTTTAACTTCTTATTCGTACGTGGTCAAGATCTTTAAGTTGCACATACGAGGACTGCACTAAAAGTATCGTGAATGGAATATTTCAACTGTTCCTGTCATATTACATTTTTTTAATTGAAAAGTCCTTGGTTTTAAAAATCGAATACCATTTATTTATTTAAAAAAAAGATTCTCGGTCTTGTCACAAGGTTTTGTCAAACTTGTTTAGTCGTTGAGAAAATTGAATTGACTCGAGAAAATTCAAGAGCGATGATTTATTATGACTTTCGAAGTGGTTTAACACAAAAACAGTGTGTTAACCGGATGATTTCTGCATTTGGTGATGAAGCCCCATCCAAAACCACAATATATCGCTGGTTTGTTTAATTCGTACGTGGTCAAGACCTTTAAGTTGCACATACCCTAAATATTTATACGTGTCAGTCGGTTTCATCGCCGTAATAGCATCCGTGTCATTCACTACATAGTCGCCGGAACTTACTTTGCTTCTTAAAATGTATAGTGAAGTTACAATAGAAGTATAAAATCGATATATGTAGGCTGCATTGCACAATTGTGTATCGCTAGCAACGCAGTCGTGAATTTGCATTTGGAAAAATCCAAAAGGGTTTTTAGGGGCTTTTAGGTGCTAATTAGGCGCCAAGTTTAAAAATTAGGTGCTCTAAAATTTTCACCGCAAAAAAATATTGAAATTTGCGTTGCTAACAAAACGTTTCGCTAGCAACGCAATGAAGTTATTAGATATACGATAAATATTAATAGCAAGGAATTAAGTGCTAATTAGGTGCTACAAGTATACGCAATACCAAGGCGCCCCTAATAAAAATAAAGTCCTTATTCAGAACATAGCAGATGCAAAATTCAGATTTCCTGAAAATCAAAATAGAATCAAAATTGAATTATAGCACTGATTTCGGTAAGTCACTGGTTGGACACACTGAAAATCAGCGCCATGGAGAGAAAAAAAAATTCATGGCATTATGCTGAGTGTGCTCCTGTTCCCAGATGACGCCTTGACACATAATATGAGTATTGGTATTGTATAGTTTGTAATATGTAGTATATTGTAATTTGTATTGTATAGCCAATATTATTTGTAAACTATGTGTTTCTTTTTTATGTTATCTGTGATGGCGTCATTTTGGAGAATAAACCTTTCTTTCTTTCTTTCTTTCAGAAAAAGTTCAAATTAGGGGCTTTTTAGGTGTTAATTAGGTGCCAAGTTTAAAAATTAGGTGCTCTAAAATTTTCACCGCAACGAACTGTTGAAATTTGCGTTGCTAGCAAAACGTTTCGCTAGCAACGCAAAGAAGTTATTATATATACGATAAATATTAATAGCAAGAAATTAAGTGCTAATTAAGTGCTGAGCGATTATCGAAACCCGATACAGATTAAGATATTATTCTGGGAATTATAGGGTCCATGATCGGCATTACCTTATCATAAGGTATGAACGGCATTTTATGTTCTTTATCAGTGTCTAAAATTAAGTGCTAATTAGGTGCCAAGTCTAAAAATTAGGTGCTTTAAAATTTTCACCGCAACGTACTGTTGAAATTTGCGTTGCTAGCAAAACGTTTCGCTAGCAACGCAAAGAAGAAAAACAAAAAATGCTGTTCATACCTTATAGTTATGGTGGTTTTGTATCCGATAATTTCCAGAATATTACCGTCATCTACATGTGACCTCAATAATCTTTCAACGCGCCTAATTAGCATTTAATTTTTAGAGACTGATAAAGAACAAAAAATACCGTTCATACATTATGGTAAGGTTATGGTAGTCGTGGACCCCATAATTCCCAGAATAATATCTTAATCTGTATCTGTTTTCGATAATCGCTCAGCACTTAATTAACACTTAATTCGGTACTATTAATACCTATTTATCGTATATCTAGTAACGTCATTGCGTTGCTAGCGATACGTTTTGCCAGCAACGCAAAGGAGACGGCTCATTTCTGCCCCAATTCGTTT